TAGTTCCGTGAAAAGATAGTTTTATCGTTATCTCCGTTGACTTTGTTACTATCATCCTAAACCCCTACCCATGTCTCCTTGCACCACTCTTGCCCCATGAGTCATACCACCTCCTTCCTTGCTTGTGGATGATGATGAAGGCGTGCCCCTCTTCCTCCCCCCAAACCACTAACAATGAGATTACATGGGCCACCCTTCTCTCCTTTATTACATGTGGTTGATGGCACGAGGGAGGCCTATCGGGCGAACCACCGCACCCCTCTCCCTAATGATCAATGTTGAGGGTATGCGAGCGACCTCCTCTCCTTCCTCGGTTGCGATCGATGCTGAGGGAGGCTTGCAAGCCACAATGAAGGCGCATGAGCTACCTCCTCCCTTTCCTCATTCACATTCGACAGTGAGAGAGGCTTGCAAGCGACAATAATGACACATGGAATGCCCCTCCTCTTCCTTGCCCACAATTGATGACAAGGGGCTGTAAGCCATAACGAAGGCACACAAACTGATGCCAAGGACATGTGAGCTGCCCCCTCTTCTTGTTTGCTCGTGATCGACGACACGAGTGTTGATCGTCTTTGCACATCATCACGCTTATGTTACGAGCAATGGATGACTATTCAGAATAAAAGGGAGCGACCGGTGATTCGTCGAGGACAGTGGCCAACATGATAGAATGAAAAAAAAATATTTCTATAAGATTTTTTTTTAATTGTGCAAATTTTAAAAGTTTTTTTTTTTAAGGAATTCGTCCCATTATCGTAACAAAAACAACACGTAAAGGACAGCTGGCAGCGGACCCGACGACTGGATTTTGGCACCTTCTTATTCTACGCTTTTCATTTCCTTTCCTAACCGGGAAATGTCCCGGTTGGACGATTGGTGTGGGGCCCACCGGGACCCGCGCTTCGCTTGGATTGAAACAAAAGGGTAGACAAGGCGGTCGCTTCTCTCTCCTCCTCGTCGCTTCTCTCCAATCATATGCCAAGCAAAGCCTTCCCTCTCACCTTTCTCATCCTCCAAGAAACCCAAGTGGGGGTTCCCAGCTCGCTCGTCCGAGAATTTTAGGGTTCTCGATCTTACCCTTGAGAAGAAGATAACCAATAGGGAGAGAGATGCGTCCCAGCTTTTGCCGGAGCTGCCTGGCGTTCGCCCTCAAGTTCTTGAACTTCCTACAGACCTTCGTCGGCGTCTCCGTGTTGATCTACTCCATATGGGTACTCAATTGTTGGCATCGTCACGGGCATCTTGTCCTCGATCTCCGAGACGTTTCCGCCCCCTGGTAAACTGAATGCCCTCTTCTCTGGAACTCCCACTGAGCGTCTTCTATTGATTGTTTGTTTTTGTTGGCAAACACAAAAGGTTCGTGTGTGCGTCGATGGGTGTCGGGATCTCCCTGTGTCTGATTTCGTTTACCGGATATGTCGCTGCTGAGGCAGTCAACGGCTGTTGCCTCTGTTTCGTATCCTGCAATTGGTGGGTATTCATGTTTAGTTCTCCTCAATTTCCTTCTGCAGTGGCATTTTCAGTCGGACATAACTTGAATTCAGTAAGCCACAGTTTTTGGTTTGGTTACTTGATTGCCGAACATTTTTATATATGGAGCTCCTTGTTAAGGTAAATTGCAAAGTAATGATTTGTGAAGCCCTTTTTTATATGCCGTGAAAGTTGTTTCTTAGTGGACCTTTTTTTATTCTATTCTCATTTCTCGGAAAATAAATGAACTATCAGCTGGTGATACGCTAAATAATTGAAACCGTTGCAGAATTTTATTGGATACCCAAGGAGACCAACATTATTAGTGAACCACTGAGAAAGGTGACAGTGTAGACTTGTAATTTTCACCTTTGCTTCTTGATCTCATTTGTATTGGAAAACGTATAAACTTGTCAGTTTAGTTGTGTGTCTTAGTCGTATTGTATCTGTGTCCATGCTTCATAAGTTTCATCATGACTGCTTTTAATTCCTGGTTT